TGTCTGGCAATAAGCGGGATACAAATAAATTGTATTATTATTATTATTTATTATGCTAATGCAGAAGACAGATCTTTAAAGTGACGATTCCCTGTTTGTTTGTTTTAAAGTTATATTTAAAATATATATTGAACTCAGTCCTTCAATATATTTGGAACCTTAAAAACAAACCACCACTTGTTTAGTTCAAAAGCATTATGTGAGAAGCTGTAGATTTACAGCAGGGGCCGGCAACCTTTTTGAGCCGGGGGCCAGGTTGCTGTCCCTCAGACAATTGGGGGGCCAAAGCACCAAAAATAAACAAATAAATAAATAAATAAATATTTTTTTAAAAAAAATAAAAAAATATGCATGCACACTCTCTCAGCCCCTGTGGAGATTTTGCCAAGAAAACCCCAAGAACAAGTAATAACAACAATAATCAATATCATCATGGCAGGCAGTGGCGGCGGCGGCAGGACCGGCCTGGGGCCGGTCCAAAGGCCTCAGGGGGCCGCATCTGGCCCCCGGGCCTTAGGTTGCCTACCCCTGATTTACAGCCTCCACAACAGGCTGGTGCCTTCTGAATGTGTTCAACTACAGCTCCCATTAAATTCAGCCAAGATGATGTGATGGCTGAGGATTCTGGAAGCTGTTGTCAAAAATGTTAATTTCCCCAAGCTCTTCTTCACTTTAGGGATTTAACAAACCTTTGGTTTCTAGTGTAGTTGTTGCCATTATATTTCATTTTATACATGGAACAACTGCAGAGAAATTATACAACTCTTCAGAATCAGCAGATCTTGAATTGCAAAATATTTATTCTGTAGTTAGTCCTTCCAGTGTCAAGAGTCAATGGTCTCTTGAGACTCCACTGCAGTCTACTGCTGAAGTGTTCTTCCTTTACTGTAAATACTCTCATCAGGTGTGATCTTTTGGCAACTTTGGCAATTCCTACCTGGCTCCTCATTTTCTCTTCCTAGCTTTGTTTCCCACATTCTGCTTCCATCTCTTTGAACTGATACCTTGAAAAGACAGGGAAAAACAGCTGTATGATTTAGGACTATTCTTTGGGGGTTATTCCCACTTGCTTTTTTGAATGAACAGATCTCTGCGCTGATTCAGAACCAATTCAGAATCGGGTCTGTGTTCCCACTACATTTACCTCAATCAAATCTCTCTGTGCCATTTTAACCCTGTTGCTGTTTATATTTGCCACCATATTGATTTAAAATAGAGGCACCCCCATCTCTGGGAATGATGCAGCGCAATCCAAATCAATCTGGTAGCAAATTCACACTACCAAAGCTGCTAATCGTTGTGGCTCTTTAAAAATTGCCAAATGCACCAGTTTAAGTGGGCTTTTCACTCCCCCTCCCAAACTGCACCAATTGCAGTCAGGTCAATTTATGGAAATCAACCAGTTCCACACCAGTTTATTTCCACAGTGTGAACAGCCCCTTAAGTGTGGTGCTACTTTCCAGGAAACCATTTCTAAAGCTCCCTGACAATATAGGCCTCAGTCCTAGTACTCTGCAGTGAAATTTGCCTTCAATCCTCAAATTTCTAGCACTGCAGAAAGTCAGACTGTAAAAATCATTCATACCTGGAACTGTCATATTTGCTATGCAGTTTGACTGTCCGATTTGAGTACATCCCTGTTATATAGATATTTCCACACATGACATACTCTTTCCCTCCCTCTTCCCTCATATTATATAGTGAATGTTCACAATTGGATATGAAGTCAGCGCTGTTGGAAAGAGGATGCAGAATGAGTCTCCCTTATGTGGAATCCTTATCTGGAGAGAGAGGTTGAACAGACATAGAGATCCAACAGGTACTTTCCAGAGCCGACACCAGAGCTTGGAAGAGTATGAGGCCAGTTCTCAAGAAGTTTAAATTGTAACCATGATAGAACTGCCAATCAGGTTGGACCCACAGTTCCAACTCCTAAAGAACCCCTATCACTCATCTTGCCCTTGTGCCTTAGGATCCATCTCTGGACCTAAGGCCTCAAGATGGCTGTTATACTGGACAGGTGGCTTTCTTATTCAGTGAATTCAGTCTGGTAAAATGTGACCAGTTCTCCCTTTTGTTAAATGAAAACAGACATAGTGGTAGAACATAAAACCAGTAACGATTTATTATGTAAAAATTGAATTAAGCATGAACTCCCTGAACTCTTTCCACATTCCCATCTCCCCAAACTCTATCCAACTCTTATCATTTCCAATCAGGCTTTCACTTTTTCTCTCATTGCCCTAAAAACACTTTTACAGACCAGCCTCTAGGTTGTACCCTTTCCACCATAGGACCTGCTTCATAGCATTCCTGTGGCTTTGATTGGCTAGCTCTAACCAGGCTTGTTGTCATGGTGAGGACGAGGAGGCTGAGCCAGGCCCTGACTTTCCTCTGCCAGCTCCAGTAGAGTCGGCTGAGCCAGGCCCTAGCTCTCCTATGCCAGTCCCAGCAGATCCTGTGACTCAGCAGCCCAGCCTCCCCACAGTAGAGGTTCCAGGCCTGGGAGATAGAGGAGCAGGATGTGGAGGTACCTACCTTCAGCCAGAGAAGGAGAGAAAGGGAGTGCCTCTATCGATCCAGGAGATTATATGAGAAACATTCAGCAATCACCAAACAGCTGTGATTAGGAACTGGGCCAATATAAACAGCTGTGAGATACTGAGCTTCTTTGTCAGAGTCTATCTGCATTCCCTGGCGAAAGCATCTTACTCTGACTCCCTTGTTGCCTGAAACCTTGCCTTCTAGACCTTGGATTGACCTGAAATTCTTGACCCTGGACTGGACTCACTGATCTGCTCTCTGGACCCTTGACCTTGGACTGAATTCACTGACCTGCTCTCTGGACCCTTGGCTTGCCCTATTAGACATTTGACTGGTACTGTGCTCTTAGAATTGCCTTTGTACTGTTGCAAAGTCTTGCAATTGTGTGCCTCATCTTTATCAGCAACTTAGTTGGCTGTTTTCTCGGACACTTGCCTAGTTTCTCATGTCACAAAAACTCTCCGAGAAAGCACCCTGGCAAGGGGCAAAGAAAGAGGAAGAATTTTCATCTACTGGAAGTGATCAGCTGCCAGAGACATAGCTGTTAAGCCTCCATATTGCAGGTACCTGACCTCTCAGGGAAGCTGACTGGATATATCAAGACAGACACCTGATGAACTGTTGATGTGCACTACTTACCTGGCCCTTTCTGAAGGGAACATGTTAAGGAGTAGGGTAGATGCTTAGTTATTTACCTGCCTGAGTTGTTTGGTTCAAATAAATTTACCTTAAGTACTTCACCTGAGCATCACTTTCTGTCTTTTCTATGGATATAGCTCTTGTAAGGCCTTGGGGACTGACGGAAAATTTCATTGGAGGGCACATTGCTTCATGGGTGGACAGTGCTCACATTTTGAGTCTTCCCTGCTGTGTTGTATTTCTGCTTGCTCTGCTGCTCAGCTTCCAGTACTAACAACCAGAAACAGCATGGGTGGTGTCATGTTGTAGAAAATAACTTGTCTGCTGCCTCTAGCCACAGATGCCCCATTGTAATGAACATGATTTTCAACTGCTATGTGACATCAAAGTAATGGTATTAGGATTAATGTTCCTAATAAATATGTGCTTTCCACCTAGAGTATGATGTACAGTTCTAAAAAACCTGGGACAATGATCTGTCACAAAGCAAAATAAAGGCTTCCTGTGTCAATATTATTTCTAAGATTGCCTCTTGGGACTTTACCACATGAGGCTAAAAGGCGGAATTTTAATAGAAGTGTCTTTGGCCAGTCCTTACCACACAATGTCATGTCCTTCCTGCTGCCACCTTGCATTCAGTTCGTTATTGTAGTCTACCTTTTCATTGATGGACAAATCCCATCAATAGGATCTCA